AGCACTTTGGGAGGCTGAGGTGGCCAGACCACTTAAGGCCAGGAGTTCGAGACCAGCCTGGCCAGAATAGCAAAACTCCATCTCTACTAAAAATATAAATATTAGCCAGGTGTGGTGGCATGTGTCTGTAGTCCCAGCTACTCAGGAGGCTGAGGCAGGAGAATCTCTTGAACCTGGGAGACAGAGGTTGCAGTGAGACAGAGGTTGCAGTGAGCTGAGATTGAACCTGGGAGACAGAGGTTGCAGTTAGCTGAGTGGGTGGATCATTTGAGTTCAGGAGTTCAAGAGCAACTTGGGCAGCATGGTAGAACCTTTCTCTATGTAATATATTATATATATGAAATATATAATTTATATACATATGAAATATAAATATATATATATAAATTAGCCAAGCTAATGTGGCAGTGCATACCTGTGGTCCTAGCCACTTAGGGGGCTGAGGCAGGAGGATCCCTTGAGTTGGTGAAGTCGAGGCTTGGCTAGTGAGTACTCCAGTCTGGGCAACAGAGTGAGACCCAATTTAGCTGGGTGTGGTTGCATGCTCCTGTAATCCCAGAAATTTGAGAAGCTGAGGTGGGAGAATCACTTGAACCTGGGGGGCAGAGGTTGCAGAGAGCCAAGACTGTGCTACTGTACCCCAGCCTGGACAACAGGGTGGGACACCATAAAAAAAGAAATTTTTTTTTTTTTCTTCACATAACTAGAACTTTAGAAGTAAGGAAAGCTAGTTAATTTGATGGTTCAAAAAGTCATCAAGAGCTGTGCACGGTGGCTCATGCCTGTAATCCCTGCACTTTGGGAGGCTGAGATGGGTGGATCGCCTGAGGTCAGGAGTTTGAGACTGGCCTGGGCAACACGGTGAAACACTGTCTCTACTAAAAATGCAAAAATTAGTCGGGTGTGCTGGTGCATACCTGGAGTCCCAGCTACTCAGGAGGCTGAGGCAGGAGAATCACCTGAACCCTGGGGAGGCGGAGGTTGCAGTGAGCAGAGATTGTGCTGCTGTACTCCAGCCTGGGTGACAGAGTGAAACTCTGTCTCAAAATAATAATAGTAATTTTTTTTAAAAATGAAGAGGAAAAAGAGAGAAGCAACCTATCCAAAGTGGCTTGGCTAGTGAGTGGCAGAATCAGATTTGAACCAAGGCAGTCTGTCTGCAGTGCCCTTGCTTGAAAGCACTGTGCTACACTTCTTTCATTTGGGATGGGTATAGGAAAAATAGAGAAGCCAAACACATACCCCTTTGAGTAGAGAGAAAGGGAATCAGATGTGGCTGAGCATAGGGCTGGCCCCGACAGCCACGTCTCACAGATGGATGTATTGACTAAACTCAGAAAGCATAGGTGGTAAGTCCAAGGTCCCAGGAGGGCTAAGTGGCAGAACCAGGATTTATACCCAAGTTCAGATCACTGGGCTTTTCCCAACACTTTTATCCTACTTACCTTAGCTCCCATAATTATCTCAACTTTTAAAATTTGTTTAATTTTAAACTGAAATGAACAGGGGAGAGACATACAGAATGAATGGGATTGGATGCTGAATTGCTGCTGGGAACCCGCAGCAATGAATGAAGAAGGCAGAATACAGGATCTGGTGTTTACTGGATTCTTCTAGCCTGATGACACCAGCTTCATTCCAGGCCTAAGTGCATCTAGTCACGTGCTCCTAGGTAGTTGGACCAGAGAGGGGCAGAGCCAGAGGCCTCATGGATGGGGCCTGACTGGGTCCTAGGGAGGAGTGCAGGTTAAGGCAGGATCAGCCTCTTCTGCAGCATACAGATCTGGCCCCTGGGAGAGGATGGTGGGGGGGATGATGATTTCTTCCCTCTCCAGTTTCCCTACAGATTGCCTAAAGCAGAGCAACAGGCCCATGGGCGGTGTCCTGACATGGGCAGTCCCAGGGCTGGTGGGGGATCCCTCCCTGGTCCTGGTTGGTGAAAGGGCCACACGCAGACACAGACAGACAGAGGTCTCTCTGAAATGGACAGTTAATTGTCTCCAGGCCAGGGAGACCTGCAGAATTAGGGCCTTCCGGGACTGGACCAGCAGACCTGGGAGGCAGAGACCCTGTCCCTACCCCCAGCCACTCTCATTTCCTTGCCAGCACTCCAGAAATCCAGGTTGCTTTCAAAGCCTGCGGCTGCTGTCTACCCGAGCATGGGGTCGCTTCCGGGGTCACTGGCTGGACAAGCATGTCAATTTTAGCAGGAAACCAACATTTAAGTAGGGATAGCTAACTCAGGGTTCTGAAACATGGCTCTGACCTTTGCAAAAGCCTGGTCTTTTCACCTCATTTTACACCTGGAAAACCTGAGCACTCCAGAAACTAACATTTATGAAACATACACACACACAGACATACACAATCTTAATAAATGCTTAAATAAAAAAATATATATATACATACACACATCCACATAATGCTTGATGTATAAGTACACACACACACACACACACACACACACACACACACCAGGCATGGTAGGAGGTACTTCCTAATTGCAAACACTTGCAATCTTCACAACCCTGACAGAGGAGGCTTTTTAATTTTATTTTTACAAATTCCCATTGCATAGATGAGAATACTGAGTCTCAGAGGTTAAGAGGCTTGCATAGGATCCTGTAGCCAGGAACCATCAAGTGGGACTGGAACTCTCCTTTAGTCTCCATGCTCAGTCTTCTTTTCACTTTAACCTTGAACCTCTGAACTCCAGAGCCTGGTTGGGGGAGGATCCCCGGAGGAGCAAATAGAAGAGACCCAAAAGGGACCTGAAAGCTGGTCCCCTCCCTCACCTGGATTCCCAGTCGGAAGAGGAGGAAGCACCCACCCTCCTTCACTCCTTGCGACCCACCCAGCCACCCACCCAAGGTGCCATTAAAGTTAATTGTTTTTACTGCCAGTTTAACATAGTCTTGTAAATCTTTTTACGATGTGGCCAGGGAACACCGAGCTGCAGGCAGGACTCCATGGAGTTGGAACACTGGAGCGTGGCCCCAGAGCTATCTGGAGATTGTAAAACAGGAGCTCCGGGTCTCTCCAGAGGCACCCTCTTCCCTCTTCCTGGAGCACCAGGCCTAAGTCCCTCACCTGAGCGCCAGTTCTAGTGGCAGTTCTCCCAGGTGTGGCTAGGATTGTGCCTGGAATGCTAAGATCCTCCAGGCCACCCCCACTGTTTCGATAGGCCATCCCTCCTGACTCGTAAGTTGTGGAATCCTCCAGAATCCGAGACCTCCAAGCCCTGGAGAGAGGTTCTGGATCCTTCCGAAAGGCTGAGGGGCAATTCCCATGTAGAAAGCTTGGCACTGGGTCTCTGTGTTTGCTCGCCAAGGACCAGCAGGGAAAAACACTGCAAGGTGGACATTTAGGGGTGTGAGATGCACACATTCCACAGCGCAGGGACTCTGGAGGTGCAGGTCTTCTATGAAGGTGATTCTGCCCCTTCCCAGCCATTACCAGCAAAGAGAGCTGAGTCTTCCTGAACAGTGCCTTTAAGCTGGTTCCTCCCGGGTTGGTGGAGCAGGACTCAGCGGTTTCTAACCCTTGGGCAGACCTTGACTTCCATGCTTCCGGGTACAGGCCCACTTTCCCCAAGTCTCCTCTCTAGGTTCCGGGCACCCCCAGTCTGAGCCATCCATGTTAAAATAAGTGTCTTAACTCCCACCGTTACCAGTGTTAAACTGACACTCCTAATGTGCCCAGAAAAATGCCAGGCACACGCTAAACATCAGTAAACCACGGTGACAGCTCTAAGTGTTCATGATTAAGCCCAAATATTTATTAGGCGCTGGTCTGCAAGCCGGGTAAGCACTGGGACACACAGAGGAGAACAATGTTCTTCCCTTTAAAGGAGGTTTTTGTTATGAACCGAGGAACCTAGAGGGCATCAAAGCAACACAGAGCGGTCCTTCCCAAAACGTAGTCCCCCAGCATTACCCGGGAAACTGTTAGAAATGCGCATTCTCAGGCCCAGCTCAGATCAATTGAATGAGGTGTCCGGGGGCGGGGCCCAGAATTCCGGTTTTAACAAAGCCCTCAGGTGATTGTGAGCTCCTTAAGGTTCGAGAACCCTGATGAAGTGAATGCAGGCTCAGGCTTTGGAGGGAGAAAATGTGGGTTTCCATCCCTTTGCATCTGTGTTACCGGATTTTGACTAAGAAATGGTAGCAAGCTCAGATGGGGAAAAGGGAAAAGGGAGTGGAGTGGGGGCGATGAGGATGAAGACAAGGGAATAGCCAGCCCTTTCCCCAACGGTGCTTCCTCCATCAGAGGCCGAATTTCCGAGCAGGATGCACCAGGGGGCTCGCACTAACTCTTGAGAGGTCAGAAAGGCCTCTCAAAACGCGCCGCGATGTGAAACCTGCAAACACGGGGTTCAGGCTGTCTCGGTTCTTCTAAGCACCCAGCCTTTCCCAAGCCTCGATTTTCCCGATCTCGTGGGATCCTTTCGGCGCGAATGGGGTTGGAAGCACCTTGGAAGCTACAGAGTCCCGGGTCAAGACAATTTCCGGCACTGCCCCAGTTCAGTGGTTTATAGAAATGTTCTGTCTCTCAGGTCCACGACGCCCGAGAGAGAGAAGTTGACCCTGGCACACCCGGGCGAGGTGCTGCCGGGATTCGGGAGCTGGGGCGGGTGATCTTTTTCGAGAATCCTCCACTTGTGGTGACGTCGGGCAGTGCGCACTGGCTTCTCTCTAAAGCGTCCGCTAATGAGCCGGCGAATAAAACGGGTGTCTGCAACGTTAATGAATTGTACAAGGAGGCTGAGGGTGGGGACTTAGACCCAGAAAGCCGGAGGCGGTTCCAGGTGGCGCTTCCCCGTGCGCCTAGCGCTGCGCTGGGCTTTCCCAGCCGAGGTGTGCGGAGCGCCCCGCGTGAGCCTCAGTCGAACTCATCCTTCTCACAAGTGGAAGGAGGTGGACATGCTGGGAGAGTTGTCGGGGGTGGGGAGAGGGTTGGAGGGGGACTGTCTAGATTCTATTCTGCAGGATCCAATCACGTCGTGCTATTTCCCTGCCTAGAACTTCAAAGTTTTCCAACTGTTTGAATAAAACCCAAACAATGCCTGACGTCCAATGAACGAATGATCTAGCCTCGGCCTACTTTTCAGGACCAAGCTTTGTCCCTGCCCGCGACGTCCCGTTAGGAACGTCCTACTCGCCACCACCGGCTCTGCTTAGGTTCAAACTCCAGGCCACTCTCCGCACTCCCTCTCTGGTTTCCAGCAGAAGAAGCGCATTCGAGGAGGGGGCGAGAGGCGCTCGATCTCTCGGGTTAGAGGAAATGCAAGTTGGGCCAATTTCCCCCTTCCAGACTCCCAGGCGGATCGGCCCAGGGGGCAGCGGCATTGCCCGGCGGCCACTGCCCGCCTCCTCCCCCGCGCTCCCCTGGCCAGGCTTTGAAGAGCGCGTTTTACGAACTTTTCCATTTTGCTTCTGGAGGCGTGTTTGTTCTTCTCAGTCACCTCGCTTTTTTTTTTTTTTTTATGAGCTTCAGCGCTGATCTGCACGTTCTTCCCTCCGTGTAATTTCAATTTGAACTCTCCCCGGAGCGGCCTTTTCCCTCTTGTTGCCTGCCAAGTCGTTTGAAGGCTGCGCAAACATTCTTCCTCCCTCCCGTCCGCGCGAGTCTTGGGTCTACACCCGCGAGGGGAGGTGGAGGCGGATACTCCGAGAGTTCCAGTGGATTGGAGCCTTTCAGCAGCCGCCTTCAGACTCTTTGGGAGGAGAGGTGAAACATTGGAATAAATGCCCCTGCGACCACTCTTCTCAAGGGTTATGGTGGACGTGTGTGTGTGTGTGTGTGTGTGTGTGTGTGTGAGAGTATGTGTAAACATTCCCTAACCCATATTAGAAGTCTTGGGAAGGGGGCTGGGTGCGGTGGCTCACACCTGAAATCCCAGCACTTTGGCAGGCAGAGGCCGGAGGATCACTTGAGGTCAGGAGTTCCGGACCAGCATGGTCAACACAGTAAAACCACCTCTCTACTAAAAGTACAAAAATTAGCCAGGTGTGGTGGTGTGTGCCTGTACTCTCAGCTACTCAGGAGGCTGAGTCAGGAAATCACTCGAACCCAGGAGGCGGAGGTTTCAATTAGCTGAGATTGTGCCACTGCACTCCAGCCTGGGCATCTCAAAAAAAGAGAAAAGTCTTGGGAAGGAAGACGTCGGAGACACACACAAGGAGTGATGATTGCACTGAAGTAAGTTTCAGCACTCAGTAAGTGTCCAGCTTTGTTCTTTCCACAGATTGCCTTCTTCAGTTTTCAGTTTTGTGGCTAGGTGTTAAGCCCATTTTACAGATGGGAGAAGTGGAGGCTGAGGGATGAGGTTAGTTTCTCAGCCACCCTACTAAGATCTAAATCCACTTTTGAGCAAGTGCTCTGAATAACAATTATCTTATAGCTTAATATAAGATTATTAAATACCACTCCCCTTTTCCTTTACCATTGGGCTTATGTCTTCATTGGTCATTCAAGGGGGGAAAAGGAAATATCCTTTTAAAACTCAGAGGCCAGGTGCAGTGACTCTTGCCTGTAATCCCAGAACTTTAGGAGGCACAGATGGGTGGATCACGTGAGACCAGGAGTTAGAGGCTGGCCTGGGCAGCACAGTAAGATCCCGTCTCTATAATATTTTTTTCTTTGAGATGGATTCTTGCTCTGTTGCTGAGGTTGGAGTGCAGTAGCACCATCTCAGCTCACTGCAACCTCTGCCTTTCAGGTTCAAGAGATTCTCCCGCCTCAGTCTCCCAAGTAACTGGGATTACAGGTGTCTGCCACCACACCAGCTAACTTTTTGTAGTTTTAGTGGAGATGGGGTTTCACTGTGTTGGTCAGGTTGGTCTCGAACTCCTGACCTCAAGTGATCTGCACACCTTGATCTCCCAAGTGCTGGGATTACAGGCATGAGCCACTGCACCTGGCCCTCTACAAAAATTTTAAAAATTAGCCAAGCATGGTGGTTTGTGCCTGCAGTTCCAGCTACTCAGGAGGCTGAGGCAGGAAGATCAATTGAACTCAGGAGGTCAAAGCTTCAGTGAGCTGTGATTGTGTCACTGTACTCCAGGCTGGGCAACAGAGAAAGACCCTGTCTTAAAACAAAACAAAAAACCAGAGAAGCTGGGTGCTTTTCATGTGTCCTGTCAGAGAAATCATACTGACAAGAAACATGAAAACAAAATGTTAAATACCTATAATAACTGCCCTTTTTAATATATATTTGTAGTGTTAATTTAATTTAATTATTTATTCATTTTTTTAAGATGGGGTTTCACCATGATGGCCAGGCTGGTCTTAAACTCCAGGCCTCCTGTGATCCACCCACCTTGGCCTCCCAAAGTGCTAGGATTACAGGCGTGAGCCACCGTGCTCGGCCTATTTTATTTTTATAAAAAAATAGAGATGAGGTCTTGCTATATTGGAAAGGCTAGTGTTGAACTCCTGGCCTCAAGTGATCCTCCCAACTCAGCCTCCCAAAGTGCTGGGATTACAGGCGTGAGTCACCACGCCCAGCCACAACTGCCTTTTATTAACCATGTGCTTACGTGTCAGGAACTGTATTAAACTGTCCATTTATTTCTCACAAATATTTCTAATAGTGTCTTTATGTATTGGATACTTTTCACATGGCAGATAGGAAAACTGAAGCACAGAGAAGTTGAGTAACCTGCCCAAGATCACACAGCTACGAAGAGCTGGTCGCAGGGCTTAAACCGGGGCAGAGGCGCTCCTAACCATCAATATGCATCCTTCTGCTCTTCCCAGCTCTCTCCTGAGTGACATGAAAGAAACTCCAGGCTTACTGGTCCTGGGCTGCAGTTTTCCTCCCCAAGGTCACTCTGGGGACAAACAGGAAGATGGGAGGGGGCATGGGGCAGTTATGTAAGGCGGTCACTTCAAAGGTGGCCTCTCTGGGGTGGATAGCCTTGGCTTTGGGCAGTTATCCAGGGGTACTAGTCGGCAAGCTGAGGGCTGTTCACCCTCTATCTCCTACCCCATCTTAGTTCAAGGGCAGAACAGGCAGTGGAGGAGATGAAGGCTGAACTAGGCGGCGAGGGGGCAGGTCTCGTAGTCAAAGTTGGGCAGTGGCAGAAATCAGGTGACGCAATAAGAATAAAAATAACACCAGGTGCAGTGGCTCATGGCTGTAATCCCAGCACTTTGGGAGGCCGAGGTGGGCAGATTGCTGGAGGCCAGGAGTTCAAGACCAGCCTAGCCAACATGGCGAAACCCCTCTCCATTAAAAGTACAAAAATTAGCTGGGCACGTGAGGGATCTGTGGGGCTCAAGCTCACCGTATGGCGAGACCCATTTCCCAGGGGCCTCACGCATGGTGGCATATGCCTGTAATCTCAGGTAGTCCAGAGGCTGAGGCACGATAATTGCTTGAACCCAGGAGGCAGAGGTTCTAGTGAGCCAAGATTGTGCCCCTGCACTGCAGCCTGGCAGCAGAGTGAGACTCTGTCTTAGAAACAAAAAATAGCAGCATTTATTGCACACTTACTATACACTAAGCATGATGCTAAGCTCTTATGTTAATAGCTCTATTGGTAAGGACTTTCAATCATTTCCTTTAAAGGGCTCAGAGAGGTGAAGCCATGTGTTCGGTCTTACGGCTAGGCTGCCTGTCCTAGGAGGAAGGAGGCACTAACTTCAAGTGAATTTGGCACATTCTGGTGGAAGTGGGTTCAGACTTTCTGTGATGCAAACTACAAAATAGAATGAGAGGATCTGAGAATGGTAGGTCCAGCTACCCTCTAGATGAGGAAACTGAGGCTTGGTGAGGGGTGGAGTATGACCTAAGGTCTTCCATGAAGTCAAGAGGGAATCCATTGTAATCCCAGAACTTTGGGAGACCAAGGCTGGCCAGTGACCTGAGGTCAGGAGTTTGAGATCATCTTGGCTGACAAGGTGAAACCCCATCTCTACTAAACACACAAAAATTAGCTGGGTGAGGTGGCGATGCCTGTAGTCCCAGCTACTCAGGAGGGTGAAGCAGGAGAATCACTTGAACCTAGGAGGCGGAGGTTACAGTGAGCTGAGATCATGGCACTGCACTCTAGCCTGGGCAACAGAGCGAGACTCTGTCTCCAAAAAAAAAAAAAAGAGGAATCCAAATGGTCTGAGAATAACTACCCATGCCCCCACCCCACACCAGGGTACTTCCCTCAGCTCTAAGAAGAAAGGGTGTGGCCAGAGAGAGCCTGAGACAGACTGTGTTTCCCTTCTGCCCTCAACTTTCTATGACTTCATGCAAGTCATTCAATCTTCCTGGGCCTCAGTTTCTGCAAAATCATGGCAGTATGGGGAACATGCAAATCACGCAAAATCATGGCAGTACAGATTATTGAACTGCTTAGGCACTTGGTGGTGATAATGTTCCCAGAAGCTCATGAGGCCACAGCCAGGAAACAGAGCCGAGCACAACCAGTTCCCCCAATCCTGAAGTTCTATGAAATCGAGGCTCCCAGACTTCTGGAGGGTGATGGCAGCTGGAGGTTCACTGCGTCTTTGAAGAAGCACTCTTTCCTTTGTCAGGCACCCAAAAGGCCTCTTGATCCCAGTCCAGGGATAGACTACATGTGCTTCCACCAGAGACGTGGACTGTCTCCCCGTCACTGGGATTTGTGTGGGGCTTCCTTTTTCTTGGGGCTGTGGAACTCAAGGTGGGGGTTGACTGAGGGTCTCCAAGCCCAAATGCGTTGCATGCGAATGGACCACAGCAGCTTATGTGCATATAAACTGATTTTAGGTCCACACAGATGCAATCCATGGCAGACCCACACCCAGCCCGCCTTCCTCCACCTTATTATTATTACTGCTGTTGTTTAAGAACTGTACTTTGTCTAGCCCCTAATGTGAACCAGGTGTGTTACAATTAACAGGATAACATCTGAGAGTCAGAGAGGTGCAGACACTTGCCCAAGATGCACAGCTAGTAAGTGTCCCTAAGAGAAAGACTCGTACAAATAAACAGAGCTAGGTGGAGGGAAAAGGAAGAGGACACGCAGAGGCAATGAGACAGAGAGAAGAAAATTCCTGGCTGGGTGGGGTGTAATCCCAGCACTTTGGGAGGCTTAGGTGGGTGGATCATTGGAGGTCAGGAGTTCCAGACCAGCCTGGCCAGCATGGTAAACCCCCATCTCTACTAAAAATACAAAACAAAACAAAAAATAGCCAGTGGTCCAAACCTGTAATTCCAGCTACTCGGGAGGCTGAGGCAGGAGAATCTCTTGAACCCAGAGGCAGAGGTTGCAGTGAGCTGAGATTGCCCTACTGCACTTCAGCCTGGGCTACAGAGCAAGACTCTATGTCAAAAAAAAAAAAAAAAAAAAAAAAAAAAAAAAAAAAATCCAAACCCAAAAACTCTCATCTGACTTTTCCCCCTGTCCTATATTGGGCATTAAGCTGCACTGTCCTGAACATGACTCCAGACACCCGAAGCCAGAGTCCCAGGAAGTCCATGGTTTCTGCAATTATTGGTATCATTTAAGCTGAGAGCAGTATCTACAGAAATGTACTGATGGATGCTTTGGGGTTGATTTATCCCGAGATTCCCATTCCTTGTGACTCTGTGGGGGAGCTGACCTTTTCACTACAGAAATTTTAGGCTTTCTGCATCTGCTCCAGGAAATAGGAGGAGTGAAAAGATTATGCCACTAGGCACCGGGAGGCGTGGGGCACATAACGGTATCCCTCCGGTTAGAGTCAGGTGGAGCCTTGGGCATGAGGTTACAGACTCAGAGAGGGGCACTGACTTGGCCAAGGCCACCCAGAGTCAGGGAAAGCATTTGGCCTCCAACCTCAACTCAAACTTGCCCTTGCCAGGTGCTGTGGGCTGCCCAGGAGTGCTTTGAGCTGCAGACGGGAGGGATTGTGGGGCAGAGGGAATGGTGATGGGGTGTCTCCTTAATGGCCCCAGGGGTCACATGGTGGGTCGCCAAGCTTTGACCCTCTTTTTCCACCTCTCCGTGCCTGAGTGCTGTCTTGGGTAGGGCGGGCATGCATTTTTTCACATTATGGGCTGGATAGGCGGCCACTTGGGAAGAAGCAAAGGAAAGCAGGATCTGGAGGGCAAGTGGGGGTGGGGTAGTGCTTATGGGGGTAGGCTACAAACAAAGGGGCCCGCATTGGATCAGGCAGGGCTGCTGAGTGATGATTCACAGGCCAGCAGGGAGGGGCCGGCTGCTGGATGCATGCGG